AAATGAATGTTGTTGTCTTCACTCACAAGCRCTGTAAATACAAGGAAGGGTTGGGTCAGAAGCATAGATGCTTTTAGCTGGGCAGATAGTATCAGGACTCGTGCATAGCCCTGCAAGTGTCTGCAGGCTCCTGGGGAGGCATTTGTTGTTTGAATAGAAGGAGCTGGACCGGGTGGCTGATGCCTGGAAGCGCAGCCTCCGCGCCAGCCCGGCCACAGTCTTGCAATTGTTCAGCCACACTGGAGGGAAGAGGGAAAAAAAAAAGCATTCCAAGCAGTGCCAAATTTTCTTTGATATGTTAATCTTTTGATAACAGTTTGAAAAGCCCTTGGAGACTTTTTTTAGATTTTAGACAAAATAGTTCATTTGTCAGGACTTCCCTTGTAGATAGGGTCTCCGTTATTAAGAACTGCCTCGCTAACTCATGGTAACAAAAGCAAGTGCAGAGGACAGCTGCTGGACTGCTTGTTGGTAAGAGAAACTATTAGTTATCACAGGACTTTTTACAAATATCTGAAAAAGAATAAAATAGGGAGTGTTTAAGATACAAATGTTTATGTACGTATTTTAAACAGGCAGATGATAAGAGCATAAGAAAAAGTAGTAACTCKGTAATTTTTTATGCATATCCATATGTGGATTTTATTAAAAACTTCAGCTTTCAAATTTACATTTTAATCTGAGAAATCTTAAATTCACCCAGTGATTGCAGGAGATACAAAAGGTTTCTTCTTCCATAGCTGTAATTTGTCCAGACTTWAAAATTTTTCTCTTGAAGCTATGAAATTTGCACTTATATTGAAAAACWGTAAGAAACAGATGGCAACAACGTGTATGAATTAGTTTTTAAGGATTGTGGAATTGGGACCAATGTTGAGGAAAATGGAAGATGTCTTTGTTTCTCACTCCTCAAATTAAATTCTAAGGGTAAAATTTGCACTGAAGTATTTTGCCAACTTTTAGAAAACTGACTTGAGGTAAGCCAGTAGTCCTTCAAAAGTGGACTTGCAGAACTCTTCACATGTACTGATGGAGACTTCTCTGGTGCTTTCAGAACAATTTCCTTAATAAATATGCTATGAGTTCACTTGCACCTTTTATACTGTTGCTACAAATGTTTATTACTTACAAATATTTTGGTACAGTTGCTTGGTATCCTGGTTGTTTAGACATGATAGATGAACAAATACAGAGTGATGTAGTAATTGAGAAAATGTGCCACATTTTCTTCACTGTGAGGGATGCCTATCATTTTATGCTTAGTACACTGCTATAATTTCTTCAGTGATCCAATTTGTGTTTTATTTTAGCTCCAAAATAGTAACAACTTGAGTCTAAAGCTGCAGGTGCTGTCCTGCTCACAGCTGCGTACTCCTCAGGACAGAGACAAATAGGAAATGCTGTTCTACTTAATTTTGATATACTGTATTTTGCAAAGTTGCAGATYTACTGTTTAAGCTTGTGACTCAAATGTATCCTCTTAGAAGTACTTACAGTTCAGATACTGTTCAGCTGATCTCTGGACCATTTGTTAAATTTATACCTACAGTGTTATAAAATGTTGCAAGTGATTTCATTTTTAATCTGAATRGCAAACAATGTTTTCTTTTACAGACTTTTTGGTATTTCCTACTTCTCTGACTCTAGAATATGTTTAGCTGCATAATAGCAACTYAATAAGTAAAAATTATGAGTGGAGTGATACTAACTTTCACCATTTCCGTTGGTTTTAAATGTCTGTAAAAGGTTGCTATTTTCACTTTGTCAAAGAGGGAGAGGATTTCTCCAACTATTAACTSCAGGGAACTTGGGCTGGAGAGAGGCTGAGTGGGAACCTGTAATGTACATCAGAGGCATATTATATATGGATAGTCCCATGTTAATATTGCTTATTGAAAGTGGATTTCAACCTCACTTCAATTTGAGTACTAGTAAAATGTCATACCCTCTCATGGTCTGAAAAGTCCAAGGTTTATTTTTAAATCTTTAATTAAAGTTTTAAAGTAGTGAAACATATAATTCCCCATCATATTATAGAAGGAAGGAAGTAAAACTCGACTGCAGATTGCTAAAGTCTCTTCTGAATTGGTAAGGTTTCTTCAATCTGACCCAGCAGCCTGAAGTCACCTGCAGGGGCAGCCCTGGGGAATCCATGTGGTGGTGTTCAACCCCAATTTTCATCAGGGCAGTGGGAAACAAATTCAAAGCAGTTACACATTTGAACTCTTGGTGATAGGCTTGGGCTGATGGTGTGCCAGAAGGGAGAAGATTGGAGAAAGAGTGCTGTTCTTTGTTGTGGAATAGGAATCATTTTCATGACCCATCAACTGAGAAAATATCTCTATAATGCTTTTTATGTTTAGAGATGTGWATTTGAGTTTAATATGGAAAATTACCAGCAGTGTGTGCCATGTTGAGAATGTGTGTATTGACGGTTGCTCAGTAAATGAGTCTGTATAAAATAATGCAGAAGGAGCTAATGATGTGAGTCAGAAATAGCCTCCTAATTCTCCTCATGTATTCCCTGTCTGATTTTACCCAGCTGTTCAAAGAACTTACTGRATCACTGGAATTATTGCTAGTGCTGAGATWTCCTTTTGTACTTCTTCAGACCCACAACTTGATGTTCCTTCCCAGCAGTGGAACAACCCTAAATGAAGGCAATTACACTTCTCTCTCATACTGTCGTGGTGTCCCATAAGGTTCCTGTGCTGACATGTTGGCCATATTGAAATCTCAGTTGAGATCCATTGATCTGGAAGCTGTTTGCATTTATTTTTCTGTCTGGAGTTTTCCTGTATCAAGTTCTTGCTTGATATGTCCATCAAGGTTGGAGAGTTGCCTACAGGCACCCTTTTTGATATTACTKTACATTATAKTGGGGAAGTRTGTGTTTGTTTAAGAGCAGACTAGWTCAAGTATGATTAATCTAATAATTCTTTCCTGGAGCTGTGAACTCTATYAGAAGTATAATTCTCTAAATACACAGAACTTTTTCTGGCTGCGTGAGTTCTTGATTGAAAATGTGATTTGTATGGTGTAYATAAGGTTGTTTGATGTCATTAATTCAAAGATTGTCCTCAGGARCTTTCTTAGCAATCCTGTGTAGATTTAGGACAGATTTTAACTGGTTTTATTTATTATCTGTATCTTTCCTAGAATAGAAAGCTGCTTAGTTAAAAAAAGTGGCAGTTTAAACAAAAATGAGGTTTAGAACTTCAGTGTCTTATATGGCTTAATTTCCAAACAAATCTGCAGTAAAATTACAGCATAGSTATAGAAAATGTTGAGCTTAATAAGGCAAGGGAAGTGTGAGCTGGTGTTCCAAAGGAGACAGTTGTTGCCAAGTTAGCTTCCTTCCATTCAGAACAAAATGCCAACTATATCAAGCACTCAATTTATAAAGAGCTGAGGTGCTTCTCACCTGAGACTGAGCTCTGTGCTGTGATGCAGTTCTCTCCTTTGAGAGCCTGTTTCTTCTGCTGGGACCTTATTCAGCAGTGGGAATAGATTTCTGAGGAGATCCAGATTTGGGTAGCAAAAGAAACCTTTTCTGTTGGGTTACTGCCTCAGTTATTGGGTTAACTGGAAAGTAGATGGTAGGTTGCAGAAAGCACGTGTGRATGTGATGATGTTGATAAGCTGCAGGAGCTGGGAGGAGGGACCCTTTGAAGCTGGCAGTGCTGGTGAATGTAAGTGCATGGATCCAAGGGCTGTCTTTGGGGGCATCTGACTTGGAGTCTGGTAAATTGGTTTGTGAAAATGTTGGGGAGTTAATGACAGAGAAGTTGGTAGTGACTGTACTTATATCATTGTGCTACCTAATAGTAGTAAAAGCCTGAAAAAGGACAATTAGAGTAGCTGCTTGTGCTGTGACTTAATACCTGAGGACTGGTTAAAAACTGTGGTAATAAATGCTGTCTTCCAAGAGATTTRTGTATGTGCAGTAAATAAAATTGAAGGCTGTACCATGTCAGTGCAGAGAATTATAGTTAATCCATAGTCTTGGTAGGTGAGCACTGGCTWTGTAGTGATTTTAATTGTGGTAGAYGTTCCTGTGCATTAATTATAAATTGTATACAATTGATGTGTATAGGGGTGCCCAGATGAAGGTTAGATGCAGTTTTAGTTTCAAAAATTGGTCTTTTTGACATGGTACTTGTGATTTTACTGCTTACGTGACTCAGGAAAATTCTGATAAACCTCTGAGTATGTTGTAGCCTTTGTTTCTAGTTCTCCCCCTTCGGAATCAGAATCTGTGTGCACTATATTCATCTCAGTGTCATATTTTTTCCATGTCTTTCTTTATTCATGAAAATTGTGATCATAATCTGTCCTCAAAGCATCTCTCAGATTAGCAACTGTGAGAGATTTTGATGCAAATTGAGTAGTAGAGGAACTGGAAGAAGAGGAAAGATTGATCAATAAGCATGTCTTGATTTAGAAATAATAAACTGGGGATGAAACTTTTTTAAGCATGTATTTATTTTTTTGCTTAGCTGAGAGGTGTAGATCTCAGGGATGCTGTGCCTTTCCTCTTGAAGGATAGTCTGGCTTCTGAAAGCATGTGATTGGAGCTATTACATGTAGAGTGATACAAATGTGTAATATTGACCTACTTAAAAGCTTTTTTTTACAGGATTAATTTACATTTCCATCATGAAGCTTGTAGAATGCACCAAAAACTGATTGCTGAATGTAGAATGTGGCCAAGTTAAATTGATACAAGCTTCTTTCCCCTCTTTTAAAGCCTGCTGTTTCTGCAGTATGTCACTTGCATTCATCTGGTGTTCAGTCGGAAAGCTTTAATAGAGCTCCTTGGACAGTTACTTCTGGAAACTAGTAACAGTGCAAATTGAAGATAAATAGTTATATTTTTTGAGTGTTGTTTTTTGTGAGTTTTATGTGTATGCAGTTACTGAAGGTAACTTGAAATAACCTAAAACTTAGRTATAAAATCAGTAATGTTGCTTCAATTTTTAATTGTTTTGTTGTTGAAGGTCTTCCATATCTCAAGTTGAGAAGTTCCATATCATACTAAACATGGAGAAAGAAGAAAAGAAATATGTCAATAAAGCAGAGGAAGATGAGATGGTAATTAATTCTGTTAATTTATCTTTATACAATGAAAGAAACATGCTATCAGAGTTTTCTGTTTAAAGGGGATGGATTGCATCAGGAAGTGTATTGTCTCAGTTTAAATCGATTTAACAATTTTATAAGGTTATCCTTGGCAATATTTTTTGGTGTTAAGAAATTAGTCTTGGGATGGGGAAGTTTTTCTTTGAGGACAGTAGTCCAGTAGATAACACATTTKGATGCTTAAAATTTCTTTTTTTACACATGAAAGTGGAAACAAAGTGGGTTGTGGTTTTGGTTTTTTTTTGTTATTACTATTATTTTGTTTTTGTGTGGTTAGTTGGGGTTTCTTCCATCCAAATCCTGGAGGCTTTTTGTTGTATTTTAAAACAGGTTAATGCTTCATTATGTGACTCAAAGGAGTAAGCTTTGACAGGAAAAAAGTCCTAGCAGCTAATCTTTAAATTTCTAGCCCACTCTGGGTTCATAAGGGGTTTTCTAGCCTAYTTAGTATATGTAGGGATTTTTKTTTTWWWWAA